AAGGGCTGTGCAAGAGACACGGCCAAGTGATAACGAAAATTGGCAGAGTGGTGTTCTAGAGCCGTTGCAAACTTTTTGGCGCAATTGTTACAAAATAGACATGCAGGGCATCTAATACGCCATAAATCATGGTTACTTGTAAGACGTATGATAGCGCCCTCTTCGCCGTTATTAGTCTGTGCGGAGAAGTGTGGTGGCCGTCACACATCTGTAAGGCATTGTCTCCACTTTTTTTCGCATGTGGCTGATGAGGACGAAGAATTGTGGCTGGGCGAATTGGAACGGTTTGGAAGCATTCAACAACCCACTCGTTCCACAATTCAGTTTGTGTCACACCCGGTTGTTATCCTACTTTTTTACCGCACCATATTATAAATGTTGACGTGATTCATTGTCCTGCATGAAGTCTGTTTGTATAAGGTCTTTAAAACTTACACTATCTCAGCAACCACGCGATGCTGTCGGGGAGCCGTAGAGAAGTATACTATATGAAGAGTGGCCGCTGGAGCCTTTTCGTGGCCCAGCAAGAAAGGAACTGATCAACCGCTAGATGGCGTACCTACGCTCACTTTTAATTCTTTGTTAATATATGTAATAGCCACCTCGGAAGAACGATGAATACCCAAGTTTGGCATCAATTTTTCGCGAAGATGTTTTATTCATTTATGCATTTTCCCGTACCCACTCTACATCATGTCCCTCTGAGGACGTTTAGTTCCTTACAACGACAATCAATAAAGTCTGACTAGAACGTACTGTCTTTCTGCATTTGTTTGTAACAAAGAGACACATTCTTGTGGTTTAGATGTACTGTACATGTATTTCCTTCAGGAAAGCAAGGGTGTGTAACCTACTGGTAAACACCCTTGCTTTCGCAACATGATGGTGCAGGTTCAAACCCCAGTGTCGCAAAGGAAACATTTCGTTATTTTATTTATGAAGAAGACGTTATCGAGTCTGACCAGCCACTCGCGGCGCTGTAAGAAGCGCAGTAGCTTGACCACCGGGCCTACGGGGGTTAGCCTCTCTTTATTTATTTATTTATTTGTTTATTTATTACAATACTGCCGGTCTCATCTTCAGACATTAAGCAAGAGTGGGTACAAGTGAATACAAAAAAGTTACAATAAACACATATGAAGCAATGCGGCGATAATAACAACAAAAGATGAAGAGTACAGCAAATTCATACAAGCAAAGCAACAAGATATGTAAATAACCAGTGAAAACATAATACGTAACCATATGGAAGAAAAAGAGCGTCAGGGTTCATGTGAAACTATGTCAGAGCTATGTCCCATGACTGAAGGGCATGTATATAGGATGATAGCGACGGGCATTCTACCACAGCTGAGGGGCGGGAATTCCAATGTTTCTCTATGGGGGAACAATATTCTGCGGACGCACAATGAACGCACATCCTTTCGCATAGTGTGGCGATGAACCTACGTGGCGTGCTACAACTAGAGCTCGGGACGAGTAGCTGCTACATAATCTACAGTGAATTCATGGTGTGCTTCACCTACAAGGACGCATGAACATCGGACACAAAGTGCCCAGTGATAAACGGAACCTTACATTGACTCATGCGCTGCTTCAAATGCTATTATGGCTTCTTTTAGTAGAATTGGTGTAAGTTTTTAGGGGTGAAGTTGATTGCGGTCAAGGGAATCTCTCCCTCCGGCTGCACCCAGTAGCGTCTCCCTTATCACACATTAGATAGCGCTGTCCCATAGAGATACATACAGACTGTAGTTGGGCAACGATATACTAGACGGCGCTGTACGCATTATGTCTCGTCATCGCCATTTCTCGTCTAGGTTCCTAGAAGGCTTTGTCCCTTAGCAATTTGCGCGATATGATGGTTGGGCGAATGGGCACTAGATGACGTTAGAGGTGCCGCTGCTCACCGATTGGCTGCTGCGAGGTGCTTCGCCAAGAGCACCCGTTACCTCTCATTTTCCTTGATCGTCACTGTACGTGTGGGATCGCGAGCGCTACGGTGGGTGGATGCTGAGCTGTTGTGCGACTAAGGACACCGCTGCGAAACGTAGGCACCGAGAAGCGGATCCTGATGTGATGCGAGTTAAGGAAGCTAGTGCGATACGGCTTCAGTGAAAAGCAAATCCTGGTTCGAGTCCCACATGTATCATTGGTACTAGTTTTTTTTTTTTTTTGCTGATTTCACAAGATGTGGTTACGGACACCGGATAGTGGATGCGGTGGCGGACAGCTATGGTGCTGCGCGAGATTCCAGTCGTGATATCATAACAGCTTTCGCTGTAAAAATTTCAGCATCTCCTACAGAGTGGATGACGGTGAGGTGGGTGAAGTTCCGGAAGTTTTTAGGTGATACCGTGAATACCACTGAGCTACACTGATGCTTGGGACTTGTTCGCAAACTTGCCCTGGGCGGGCTTGATGTCAAGAAATTAATTGCGTTATTATGAGCAAGAAAGCGTTTTAGAACAGCAGACGAACAATCAAGCGTCACACAATGCGAAAAGTGCAACGAGTGGGTCGTCCCATGCTCCAAACCACTAGAAAGGTTTCTTCTTGATCATCTGTTATCTGTGGCCTATACCCACTTCAGGCATAATTCCTCATCGTCGTCAGCCACTGCATGAACAATGGGCACAAAAATTCTCGAGGTAGTTTAGCGGATACCACGCTTCTCAGAAAAATGACAAAGGATAGCATAGCGAATTCCAGCCTAGTACCCTAAAATTTTTATTATTAATGCCGTAGTGGGTACCCAGCAAGTGTGCTTGCAGAAGTTACTCAATGAGTGTTCATAAAAATCTCGCAAAGGCCACTCTTCCAGGTTTCTCTGTGACTGTGCTGAACTTTCCATGCATGCCTGGCGTTTTTAGGGGCGAAGCTCCTTAGTGTGTGGGTCTGTCCTTCCTCCGTTGTTGTCGTACGTAGCCACCTGTGGTACATACGCGCTCTAGAGCGGGCATGTACCACAGCGGACGCGAGATGGGAGATTGCAGTTTTTGGAGTGTTCACTAGATGGATGCACGGACAAACGCATGGATGGGCGGACGGACAGACAGACTAGCAGACATACGGACAGATGGACAGACGCTCGGAGCGGGTATGTGCTACAGGGGAAGCGAGATGGCGGTACTTAGTGTGTTCACTAAATGGACGTACGGACGCGCGGACAGACGGACTCATGGACACACGCATGAATGGACGCATGGATGGTCGCGCAGATGGACGGAAGTGTTCCGTCGCTATGTTTTTTTTTCGTTAGAGAAGGTAAAATACTCAACTGCCATACAGAAGTCCCAGATATAAATCGTATTCGATCCTGAATATCTCTTGTAATTCTACTTCTCGTATTTCGATGGATGGCGGGTACGGACAGCATCAGCAACGGTAGACAACTACGGTACCGAAATTGGCCGTAGTTGATCTCATAATAGCTGTCGCTGGAAACGTGATCGCAATGCGAAAAGCCCCGTGGGACTCCCGATTGTAGGCCGCTGACGCAGATAATTTTGTATTCACCAAAGCATGCATTATATATGTTTGGCAGTTTACGTTTGTTGCGTAGAAATTATAGCATTACCATGTCCAGTGCCTTAAGAAAATCTAAGAAAATACAGCTAGTTTGTCACTCTTAATGAACGTCAGACACCACATCAAGATAAATTTCAACGAGTTGCGTGGTGAATGAGGGCGCTTCTCTGAACCCATCTTGAACACTTGTTAAAATGTTGTTAATTAGGTGCTTTGTTATTCCCAAAAAGTGAATGTGTTACGTTACCTTGGACACTAACTAGATTAGAAAAATTGATCTGCGATTCGCAATATGCTACTTTATCCCCCTTTGTGGAGTGGAAGCACATGTGCTTAGATTTTCATTCAATAAGTGAAGACATAACAAGAAGGACGGGTTATATACTATCTGCAGCCTGAGTGAAATCGTACAACACAATGTCTCAATATAAGCGCATGAACTTTGTTCTTGTGAACTGCTTTTGTTTTATTCATTCGGCTTTACTAGCTTTTTGATGCCTCTAAGCTCAATAAAATGGAGGTAAGAGGAACAATTTTAAGGGCTCGTTTTCATTGCTAGACACACTATTGATGAGAACTGACAATGATGCCAAGAGGGGGGGGGGGGGGTGTTATCAGAAATAATTGTAATAGAACTTTGAAGAGAAGTGGACGACAAGATAACTTGCCATCGGCAGGAACTGAAGCTTGGAATAACGAGTCCGATACTTCATCACTGAGCTACGGAGTCGGCCATCTCCTTGCGACTTTATAGGGCGTATATGTGCATTTAAACGTGGGAGCATCAGTCAGCGCCACCTGTTGCCATTACGGCGAATGTGAGACACTCATTTTTGACCTGTTGGTGTCACGTAGCACGTGATCTTAGTACACGCTGGCAGTTGACAAATAATATCTCGCATACTACCTTAAGACATCTTGTCCGCCAGAACGACGCGCTCGCCACGAATGAAAGAGAAAAGTGTGAATTCATTGCCGTTGTTCAACAAAGAAGCGATCAGCAAGCTTCCATTTGGGCGTGTCGGAATATTTTTAAAACCCTGACTATAGATAGCTGGGAAACCTGTATATGAGAAGCATATGAGCAGCAGGTGGCCCATAGTCGGCGCTAAAGAGTAGCTGTAGGGTTGTTGTTATCGCCTGAACTTGTACGCCTTAAGCAGAGTTTAACTTGTAAGCGATCCCACAAGCTCCAGGTGTTCTGAGAAAACTTCCAAAAGGCACGTTGGGCCAATGTAGTCTCTAGCTGTTGCGTTGCGCCGTGAAACTCCAAACGAAGTCGCCAAATGCCAACTTCGTTCTTTACACAGGTACACAGTCACGACTCCACGCAAGGAAATAAACATACGATCATGGGCCCAGCAAGCACGTCACGTTGAAGTAATGTTTGCGTACCTCTACTTTAACGCGCCGCTGCTATTGTTTCTTTAATGTGAGCGCCCCGAAAGAAATTGAGCCGGTACTCTCGGTCCTTTTTTTTATTTACTTTAATGCCCGGAAGTACAGAATGCACCGGTGTATACGTGGATATTTCCTAAAAGGGCGAAAAAGAGAGTTCTTATAAATACGCAGAGGCTACACGAGATGAGCCCAGTATTTTTCTATCACCATCACAGTTATTCCTAGGTAAATAGAATGTGGGAAAAATATCGAAAAAAAATCTCGTATTTCTTAAAGCACGCCTAACGTAAAGCATAGTTATTTACACCGTAGGAAAAAAAAGTATTACAGATCGATGAACGTTGGGGTCTCAGTAAAGCTTTGGCTTCGAGCTTCGGTGAGGGCCGACTACGATGGTCCTGGTCCATTGGCGCACCAAGGGCCTCGGCTAAAAATGGCCCGCCCGGTCATTTGAAGATCCTGCGTCAAAGATAAGAAGAAAAGGACGATCTCAGTTCTTTGTTATTGCTTCCGGAGAGAACACAGCACATCGTTTCACAGCATCTCTAAAGAACATACACAAAAAAGGCAAAATTATTACGATTGATACAAAGTTGACGCAACTTGATTCAGAAGCCCTGTAATCGCGCACCCCGGGTTACAAGGGTAATTCAGTCCTCAGAATACATTTATTTTGGAAATGTTACCTGTGCGGTATCTCTTGTTGCAGGTTTTATATTATAAAAAATGTAACAACTATGTGTATGTCGGAAAGCAAACGACAACAACGTCACGTTGTTGCGATTGTTTTTTTTTTGTCTGTGCGGTTATAAAGAATTAGTCATTCAAACGATGAGTCAGGCATCGAATTCATAGCCTTGTAAAGCAATCTAGGCGAAAGTCAATGCAGTTGGTGAGTCCCAGCACGCATACGGTTCAGCGCGCGAATGTGTCGTGCTAAACACACAAAAGGAAGAACATTCGCGAATGCTGGAATGTACACAGTGCTCAGAAATATAAATATTTATAAGTACTCAAGCACAACGGCATAATTTGAAATTACCGAATTCAGACCTCCCATCTTGTCTTCATTACGCGCTGTGAATTCGACTCACACCCAATGCACAGGAAAGAAAAACTAGATGCTGAGACACAGACAGTGCCGGCATTTCCTGCCGAGAGTGAAACCACACTCACAAAAACGATTCCCCCCCCCCCCCCCGCGCTGCAGTCCTCCGACGAGAGGCTCAACCTCAAACGCGTGGCTTCTCTTACCGCTACCTTACCCTTGCTATTGCGAGAAGAGGAAGTCGGCTAGCTAGGTACAGGCGTAGATGTCGGTGTGCACGTGGGAACGTGCGCCAACAATAGCGCATCAGTTGTGTGAGTGCAATGAAAAGCAACTACTGTAGACGTAATACTTGTACACTTTGTAAATGAATGAGCAAAGGACACCATACGGGACACCATTCTTGTGAAGCGACAAAGACACTAAACTATCACAGCATTCTGCGTGGTATTGTTTGCATGACACACGCTACGTACACTAATCCTATTTGCTTCACTGTTATCGCGTCGGCTTCCGTTTCGCGCCAATCACGCGACTAGAATGATAATACACGGAGTTCAGCGTCCGCAAAGCGCGACATGATTGTGACCGACACGGTTGTGAAGAGCTACGGAAATTTTCCATTATAACACAGTAGACGCTCCTCTAGCACCACACCTTTCTCGAAATGCAACCGTCACAGCCGGGATACAAACGGCGACCTTCTTCTCGGCAGCCGAGCACTGTAATCACTACACTACAGCGTCGGACCACGTGACTAGGAGATCCCCGTGGTCGGCCGATGCCCCCAGGCGTGCCATTGTTTTAAACGAGAAATTCAGGAGTCGACGACCACTTGGGTTGCTAGCAAGAAAACAAAAGAATGGCGGTCATTTGCACCGGGCGTCGTCCAGCTTTGGAAACATGCGAAACGCGAGAAAAACGGAAAAGAAAGAAAAGAAAATGGAAGACGGCAAGGCGTGCGCTTATCTTCTCGCATGAACTCTGCAAGGCCATCGCGGTACGCAAGCAGAGGGAATTCGAGTGTCTGGACTTCAAGGGCAGTCGCTTATGCCAAGAAGTGGGAGACCTCCAAATATAGTCGCGACCCAGACCATCGCGCGAGACGCGGTTGGGCAGCGCACGCACGCTTTTTCTTGCAAAGTTACGCCTCCGTTTTGTGAACATCAACAGGATGACCTTATTATCATCTGATTATTAACCAAAATACCATCTGTTTATCTAGCTGCTGTTACTAACGTTGCCAAATGCAAACAGATGCATGAACACCATGCTATGTATCCCGTAAACATCTTTCCGTCACATTGTCTTAGGGTCCTGCGAGCACACGAATAATAAATTCAGAGATTGGTCAATAAGTATTCACTTAAATAAAAACATAAATCACACTATAGTTGAGACAAGGACTGAACACAACGTGCTTTGGAGACACTTACTAAAGACGAATGTCCTAATTCACAAAAGCGTGTCTATGTTTACGATAGACAGTTGCGAACCAACCACGCCCTACGACACGTAATTATAGCAAGTATGCTTCGGACTCCGTTTCACTGCTAATATTCAACCTATTACTTCAAAGTTTACGATAACATGGTTTGGAACAGCGCAATATTGCATATATTCTGGTATTGCTATTTATGGTGTTCATAACCATGCGCACGGTTGGCAGTTTCCGTATTTCTTCTCCAGCTTTTGTGCCGATGACTCCGAAGTCCCGTGACTTTAAACTGCAGATAGAAGGGACGCTAAGCTGAAAAAAAATTAGTAGCTTTAATTTGACAAAGTTTACTCAAAACACTCCAGCATCGTTATTTGGGCACACCTCAAATAACAAAAGAGAAAACCAAGCTCGTAGTCTCGATTTTAAATTTCGCGCCAACATCTCCGCTTGATTGACATCTGCAATTTCAAGATGATTTCTTTTTTCATATTTTGGCAACAATTCGAAATAAATTTCCCAAACCTTGCTATGTTAAGCCTCTTGTCCTTTCAGATTTCAACGTAGTTATTATTCTTTTCTTTTCCAATTATGAACGATGTAAGTTCATTGGACACCGTCAAATTCCATGACGGAATCGCGGTTGGCGCTGGAACATCCAAGAAGGGCATTGCCCCAGAACTTGCTCTTTGCTCTTTTCTAGCTTACCGAGCGGCTTAGCGCCATAAGCGTGGTGGTTTTGGTAACTTACTAGTACGAGAAAAGTCAGTTTTCCTATGGTGTCACTATAACCCCCGAATGCAGAGATGTTACTTGGCTTGCGACTTCAACTTAACTTGAACAAGTCGGCGCGAAGCAAGCAGCGGACTTCAAAACGCCCAAGTCAGCCTTCGCGTTTCATAGATTCTCAGGCTGTCTTGCTTGGTCAAGTCAAGAACGAGCTTCAAAGCAGAAACACGCTGCTCGCCTGCTGACGAGGGTAATAATGAAGTTGTTCGCGTAAGGCATGCATTACACCAAAAAAAGACCCTACGTTTTAAAATAACTATAAAAACGAAGGGCCACAAGCATATTCTTGCCATTTTACGGCTAACGAGCGGCACGTGGTGCCTGCCACCACAGCGATGCGCAGTGTTGCTTCTGTAAAGCGTTCGTTGCCCACTGGTTTTAGTGGCCACCCAAATGCGGTGCGTTTCTCCACGGTTGCTTGTTTGGAGGAGAAACAAGCATTGCGTTGGGTTCTTTCGTCGTTTTTTTTTTCTCAATCGAACGCCATGGCATGTATTTGTGCTGACCTGGCTCACAAGGTGACGCGATTTTCCCGGTATTTGCCTCTGTTCGCCTGTGTGCATGCCTGTAATGGGCTAGGTCGCAGTTATTATGAAAAAAAAAAACAAGTTCTGTGAACAAATGTGATTCGTATCCTTTTGTTGAGCTTGGTAAACAAGAGAAAAAGCGGGGGTCAGAACATTCCCCTCAGCAGAATTCTGTCTCGCGTGGTGCAGCAATGTATCCCTGCATGATGGTGACGCGGATAAAAAAAACCCGTGATAGGGGCACCTCTTTTGAGTGTGTGTGTAATTTTACGTAGCGTTGTGCTACAAGCGATGCCTTTCTGAGCGAGAAACAGCGCCCTAGACGGGACGAAAGGATAGACGAGGCACACGGACACAGCACCGAGTCATTTTTTTTTTACCGAAAGAGACGGAAAGTGTCGTCGTGTTATAGAAAAACAGAAATACTTTTGCGGATACGGAACACTTCGGCGTTGTCGACACCGGGGCTATTAATACGCACGTGTGTGTAGTCGACACAACCTGTAACGCAAGGAAACTCAGCCACTTCATAACAGTCCACCGGCAGCGGAAAGCGCACCAGCATCGCGTACAGGTGCTTTGCGATGAGTAGCGTAACTTTTCCGACTGCGCGGCACACTGTCGACTACGGAATGCGGACGAAATTTCCGGTGACTGGTTGGAATGTGCCAGCGCTGTAAAACCTGAGAGCCATCAGTAGCTGTAACACTGGATGCACGGGCTGTCTTCGGTTGTCCCCACTTTCACGGAGCGGCAGCATAACGAGCAGCTGCCCCACGGCGTTCTTCATGAATCTGTACCTAGCGTGGAATTGTTGCTCGTCCCACAACTCCATGGGATTTCCTTGGTCACGTAAAGCGGTTCCAAGAATCTTCGGCAGGCAGTGCGCCTCAAAAAAAGCTACGCTTATGGCGAGGCAAGCAAACTCAAAAGCGGCCACCTTTCACGCGACGTCCATTCGAGAGGTGGCCATGTTGGAATAACGCGTGAAGTCGCTTTCAAGCAAGCCCCGAAGCTGACTTGAAACTTGTCCTGACTTCGACCGAGCCAAGTCGCCTTCAAGTCATCCGCAAGTTCGAGAACGATTTATGGCGACCGGCAAGACTGTCTTGAGTCAAGTACGAGTCAAGTAACATCTCTGCATTCGGGGGTAAGTCTCGTTTTAACTGTTCCTGCGATGAGAATCTCTGAGCGTTTGATCAGACGAACTCAGCCGTGAATAAAACCAGTTGATAGTTTGCGCTCTTTCCATTCCCTCCTGTATTCGTCCCACTAAATGCGTAAGGAACGAAGGTAGGAAATGAAATGCATGGGTGTTAACCAGTGCATATAGGAGGACTAATACGCCACACTACGCAGGGGAAAGGAGTAGGAGTGTTTTAAAGATGAAGGAAGTCAGAAGAGAGAGCAGTCAATGTCGGATTTTACAGTCACCATAGCACAGTAAGTTAAAAATTGCCCGTGCAAGTCTGTTGCCTTCAAAAAGTTGAAGCAAATGCGTAAAGGTTCCTATCACAGATATGCACGAACCCGCCCAGCAAGAAGTTCTTCTAAAATACTTGTGTGCTCTTTGTTCACTTTATGTTCTGACAACACAATGGTGGCCGCATGAACGACACTAAAAACCAATACTTGCTGTTGTAGAAGTAGGGCGAAG